GGTGAATCAATTTAAATCTCACAAAATTTAGTTTCTAAATCTTTTTTTTTTAAGATCAGATATGTACTGTTGATGCTTTCTGACTCTCCCACCACATCACACTTCTTCTTCCTTTCTTAGATAGTGCTAACCATAGTGGTTGCCCTACTTTATTATTATGACTGTAACAGCTAACTATGTAGAGAGATCTTGTAGCACCTTTGAGACTAATAGAAAAAAAGAAGTTGGCAGCATGAGCTTTCATAGACTTAAGTCTACTTCCTCAGATGCTTTTGGAGGTAGACTGAAGTCTACGAAAGTTCATGCTGCCAACTTTTTTCTTTCAGTTAGTCTCAAAGGTGTTACACGATCTCTCCACATACTGATTCTACAGACTAACACAACTATATCTTTGAATTCTGCAGTTACCTGTGGTTAGATCAAGGCAGAAAGTAGGGAAGGGAAAAGAAATAGTGCATGAGCCTGAAGGGTATTCCTTGTCTCCAAACCATGATTGAAAGATAGGATTTGAGAAAGCTGAGCCAATGTGTCTGGCAGAGGATTATGAATTGGTGTGAAGATTGTGTATGTTTTAATGTTTGTGTATTCATTCAAGATTTCAGTTTGAATTAGATTATGTTTCTTTTCTGTTTAACTACTTTAAAAAAAGTAGTTTAAATGTGAGCACCCCTGGTTTTTTAGTCCACCTCTATTGGTTACCCTATAAATGTCAAGAGCCAGCATGGTGTAGTGGTTTGAGCATTGGACTATGACTCTGGAGAGCAGGGTTCTAATCCTGGCTTGGCCAAACCCACTGGGTGAGCTTGGGCAAGTCACACTCTCTCAGCCTTGAATTATGAAGAATCTTGCCAAGAAACCCCCATGATAGGCCTTAGGGCATGGCTTTTCTGGGGCTGAGAGAGTGTGCATGCATATTTTTTAAATTATTTGTTTATTTATTTATTTATTTTGGGTGCTTCGAGCCCCCAATTGTCTGAGGGACAGCAACCCGGCCCCCGGCTCAAAAAGGTTGCCTACCCCTGCCTTAGGGTCTCCATAATAGGAAACAACTTCAAGACACAAAACAACAAATATCAACAGGATTGTTACTGAAGCTTGTTTAGAGAAAATGATTTTCTCAGGAAGTTTTTAACTCTTTAAGATGAAGTTGACCAGTATATGATTTTAAAGTCACCAATGTTAGCATTTATTTTAGTTCAGCATAGAGTTTTATGCAGCCCACAAGCTGAAAGCATTCAGTATCTATCCCCATCCCAACCTGAACACACTCAGTCTCTCCTTATTTCAAGAGCTAAAAGACTTCCAGGGATCTCCAGACAGGACAGGATATATTTCTGTCAGAAATCCTGGAGAGCCATTGCCAGTTAGAAGTGACTGCTCCTATGGCATTTGCAAGCACATAATTTTTGTTACCTTGGTTTGCATTGTTTCTATGTACTATGTTACTGGCTATACAGATTTGGATTTCAAATTAATATAACTCTATAAAGAGAGCATTATTTTATTTCTGTTACATTCTAGTGTATTTCTATCCAGGAATACTCTGGCATCAAGAAGACATACTTATTCTGATTGCTTCTGAAAAAGAAATATTTCTAAAGTGCATTCTGCTCTAATAAATTCAGATACTTTCAGTTATGCATTTCTGCTTCAACTTCTTGTTGCTTCTACAGTGAGCTTCAGGTTTGTTGAGTAGCTGGCACATGGCTGTGGTAAATATGCAGTTACAAGTTGCTAAATAAGTACATGTTAAAAATGACACATAACACAAACAAACACATTTAACTGTGGTTCACCAGTCCATGAAGTGACCTGCTGAAGAGCACAGCGACCTGTTTGTTTTGCTACTTTTAAAACAATAAAACTAAAATGAACATATGAACTTAACCTGATTGAGCATTATGCTGAAAAACTGCTCAGCTTGAGTATTAGCATTGATTCTGTGTCATAGAGAAGAAACCAAGGGCCCAGTGGCAGTTTTTTCAAACTGTGAAAATCAATTATGTCAAAGTCTCCTTGTTGATTTGTGCTGGCCTGGACACTTTATTTTATCTTGGCTTAATGGAAATATATTGATTAGACATGGACATATTTATTTACACTATTTATAAGACATCCTATAAGATTTTTCAGGGCAGCTCACAACAAGAAATACATTCAGTAACAATAAAAGCACAACACTGGATAAAAGTATAAATCATAGAGAATAGCAGTAGCTTGAAGTCAAGATGAACTAAAGGCCTATATGCAAATAAAAAGGCTTCCACTTAATGCTGAAGCAACACTAAAGTAAGTGCCAGATGAGCCTCCTTGTAGAGGGCATTCACAGCTGGGGCATCCTATATCCACATCCTGACCTCTCATTTGAGAAGGGCACTCAGAGAAAGCTCTCTGGAAAATATCTCAAGATCAGGATTAGAAAGGTGGTGTTTAAATACCTGGGTCCCAAGCCGACATTTGTTTGTCTAAGGCAGGGCTATCACCCTGTTCTCCCAAATATACTGTCTCAGGAGGAAGATGCAAGCAAGTTATATAGGAATGGCATATGGTTTGAGTAGTGGGAAGTGCCTCACCTCAAAGTAGCAGGGCCAGATGCGGACCCCTCCTCCTACTCAGGTTGTTCCACTGGTGGAAATATTGTATGCTTGTCAGATGTGTGGTTGTAATTGTAATTTCATGAGCCTTTCCCTCTAATATGAGGTGCACTTTGTATTTTAGTGAAATTTATGCTGCATATAAGTTGTTCCTATATATTAATATGGGGAGGGGAACAGGTAGTACCACGGTAAATGATATCTATAAGTGTCAGATGTTGACATCCATAGCATATTAATACACATAATATCTTTGTCAGGGGACAATGCCGAACTTAATAGACTTCAGTAAATATAACTGTATATTTTTAAAAGGTATTTATAAAATATACATAAGTTGAGAAATTTTAATTAAAAATCAGTCCAGAAAACATGGGCTGATTTATCCACAGTCAATGTAAGTACATAGGTTTTTGTGGGTTTTTCGGGCTGTGAGGCCATGTTCTAGAAGAATATATCCCTGACATTTCATCTGCATCTGTGACTGGCATCTTCAGTTGAACCTATGGATGCCAGCCGTGAAAGCCTTTGACTTCACAATGTACGTACAGTCAGCCCTCAACATTCACTGACTTGCCATCTGCAAATTCAAGCATCTGCTGAGTTGTCACCAGTGGTGGTGCATGTATGTGGCTGTGCTGCCATTAGGGACAGCCCCCGTTGTCCCCAGTGGTGATGCGTGCACACAGCCATGCCGCCATTAGGGACAACAAGTTCCGTTGTCCATAATGGTGGTGCAGCCATGTGCACACCACTGGGGACAATGGAGGCTGTTCTTAATGGTGGCGTGGCCACGTGCATCTGCCATTGAAGTCCCATTGTTCCTAATTGTAGCATGGCCATGTGCACACACTGCCGCTGGACAACAGAACATGAGCATCCATGGATTTTGGTATCAGGGGGTGGTCGTCCAGAACAGATCCCAACAGATACCAAAAGTTGACTACTGTACTTTAATTCTTATCAAAAAAAGAACCATCCCCTTCTTTTGAGTAGAGTGATGAAAGGTGAGAATCTAAAAGAAGCACTGACTCCTTTTACTTTATCTGCCATGGCACTTCTTCTGGCCTTTTTGAGTGCCTGGATGGGAAAATGGTGCAGGTGGCAGCTCTTTGGTGCTTCCCCTCATAGGAGCACTGAGAGAGTAAAGAAGGGTCTTCTCTTGGCTTCTCTTAGGATCTCCAGGTGTGCTCCTATGTTCTCATTTTTTTTGCCACTCTAGAGGATTCCAGCGATGCTGTTTTAGCCATGAGGAATCGGGCTTTGAAGGATTTGAATAAGATATTTGTGTATGTTTATCAGCTTTTCTGGGTTAAAATCAGGCAAAGTTATCACTTTAAAGTTAAAGGTGGTAATCACTGCAAACATACTGCCTCGGCAGACGGTTAATTGAGCCGTCTTCCGGGCAGGGAAGAGG